AATATGCTGCCAATGTTAAGAGGCATTAATTCAATATCTTGTTTGCAAATGTTATAATCAGACCGGAGTTTGAATATCTGATTGTTGCAGGAGAGCTTTCGACCATTGCATGGGGTCCTTGTTATTCATATTATTAGACAGACCACAAATGATGTGTTAGGCACACACAACACAACGTTGTGTAGGTCTTGCTCTGGAAATATCAAGGCTCTGCTGGTCATCTTTAAGAATGCTATTCTAATGTGATATGTGAAGGGATTGTTAATGGAGTCAAAAAAATTGCTGTAGTTTTTGTACTGAAACAGTTTTGTATTGGATTGTTGCAGATGTGGGAGTATATGTACCAAAAGGAACAGGAGAGTATGAGGAAATTCACAGAGCAGCAGGTGAGAAAGTAAAATTTCGTAAAATGTATTATCCAAAGTGATTCATGTTTGATATATATATATATATATATAGGTGGATTGATTGTTCCAAGAGTCTATGAATATGGTGATCTATCTATATATGTAAAATCAAGTTGATATGTCAATGTTTGGGTTGGGATGCATGCCACAATATCTTCTTTGGAAATGTTGTAATTCACTTTTCATCTTTGATTGTTGTTGTATGACAGTTGGCTTTGCAGAAGCAGAAGCGGATACAGAAGCGATTGGACAAAAAATTTCGAAGAAGACGGAAAATTGCTAAGAAGACAAGTAAAAGAGAGAGAGAGAGCTCAAGTTCTGAATAAAGTAATTAATGCCGACTCGGAGAAAAGAATTGGTTTCCCATTTCATCTATTCTAGATATGTTTTTTGGTTGCATTTTTAATTAATAATACTGGATCCTTGTTTTTGCTATTACTTTAATTGGTAGGGCTGGTGTGTGTGAAAAAGGAAAACCCTCTCAACTCCTTTATATGTATCAAGAGAGGAAAACCCTCTCAACTCCAAAATATATATCTATATCTCTGAGAACCAAGTCTAAGTTTTAGACCTATGAGTTCATCTTGTCTCTATTATTCTCCTCTCATCTTGCATAAAATCCAACACCACAAAACCAAAGTCAGCATTGGAATTGGCAGCAGAATTTTACGAAAGAGAAACACAAGAGAAAATACTCAAACCTCACATGGACTGACACAAACAGTCGCACTTTGCCTCTAAGCCTTCATTATTTCTTCTCCCGTGGAACTGCAAGGCCGTTCTTTTGGTTTTGAAGGAGATCAAGGAACGTGTTTTTTTTCTTTTTCTTTTCATTTGCTCAGAATTGCTCTTCTTTTTTTATTCGTGGGTAATCATTTGTTTATCAATGATTCTTTTGGATGTTTTTTTTTATTTTTATTTTTATTTTATAATTATAATTATAATTATAATTTTTTTTTTTAGGACCTTTCATATTGAAAAAGGGCGATAGCATATTAAACTCACACACACAACACGGATGCTAGGACTTGAACCCAGGACCTTGCCTGAGGGAGTAAATACTCCAAACCACTACATTAGTGGGTCATTTGCATTTGTTTGTTTATCTTAAAATAAAACAAAATGTGAAGAATCAAGACAGGTTTAAATTGTGTTTTTACAATCACTTCAGTTTTAATTCCAAATTCAAATTTTCAATTGAGATTGTTTACAATAAATCTCATAAAAGACCGAAAATAATTCTTTCTTACCCCTACTGGCCAAAGTAGGCATAAATAAATTTAAAAAGGCATCTATATCTATATATCTATCTATCTATATATATAAAACAAAAGGCAGAGAATGGTGAAACATTCAAAATACCAGAAAATACCCTTAGTTAATTCAAACATTAAGAATTAAAATTATTAATTAAATGAGGATAATATGGTAAGTTCATATTTTTATTTATTAAAATTAAAAACAAAATCAGATAATAGCTCATACTTTTATGGAACATAACTACCAATATTATCTTTTTTTATTCTAAAAATAAAATAAAAAATAAAACCAATTGGCACATGCGTAAGCATGTGCCAAGGGGCTAGTATATATAAAGCAAAAGGCAGAGAACGGTGAAACATTCAAAATACCAGGAAATGCCATTGGTTAATTCAAACATTAATAATTAAAATTATTAACTAAATAAGGATAATATAGTAAATTCACTTTTTCATATTAAAAAATTAAAATTAAAAACAAAATCAGATAACATGTCCCTATTTTTATGGAACATAACTACCCATATTATATTTCCTTAATTCTAAAAATAAAATAATTATAAAAAAAAAAACCAATTGGGACATAAAAGTGAGTAAAGAGTCGCTGCGAGTCTTTATAAAGGCACGGACAGACATCAAACCCTGAAAAAGATTTGTCTTCTCTTCTCCCAACCACAGTCCAAAATTTCGATAATTTCGTCGATATTTTGGCGAAATTATCGTTTTTTTGGGGGAGCGAAATTTTAGGAGCATTCCAAGTATTTATCGTCAATTTATCGATATTATCCTCAATAATTTCGATAATATTTCGGGTAAGATAATTTCGTTTGATTTGCAGCTTTAAATGGTCATAATATCGCGATATTATCGTGACTTTATCGATAATATTGCGGCTTGAAGTTTCAAAAATTAAACAACTTAAACTCACAGCGCACACTGGGGTTCGAACCCCTCTCAACTCCGATTCTTTGCAGCCATTTAACCACCACGCTGTTGATGACTTTGTGATTATAAACTATGGAATATAGTATATATAATACTTGCGAGACTTTCAAAAATCAAACAACATAAACTCAGCACACACTGGGATTCGAACCCCTCTCAACTTCGATTTTTTGCAGCCACTTAATCACCACGCTGCTGATGACTTTGTGATTATAAACTATGGAATCTAGTATATATAATACTTGCGAGCTGCTTTTCAAGTTTCAACTTTTCAACTATTCACCACGTTTCAACTTAGTAAGTCACTTATGTATCTTACCATGCAATGTATAAAATGTAAAATATTGTAGTAAATCATTATATATAAATGATTGTGGTGTGTTTAATCTTTTTTCATTAATTACTACATATTTTCTACACTCACGGTGTTTGTCAGCTCGCTATATAATCAACTTAAATTAGTTAAATCCATCATGCAATGCATTTCCTTCCAATTTTTTTTGTGATAAACTAATAGATAATTGACTAAATAAGCATCCTCCAAAGTTTCAATAAAAATTTCCAAGTTTTTCTTACAATTTCCGTGGTTTTTATTCAATTTTTATCGATATCGATAATATCCCGATATTTCCATCGAAATTTCAGTGTTTTTGGACTACCGATATTTCCGATATTTTAGACCTTGCTCTCAACCCATCGCTCCCTCACTCGTTCCAAGAAAGAAACAATGAGTAAAGAGTCGATGCGAGTCGTTATAGAGATAATCGAGACTGTGATGAAAAGAAGCGATGCTCTGTCTTGCGCAACTGATACTGTATGCATGCATTTCTCTTTCTCTCTCTCTTTCCTTTTTTTTTTCAATAAACTTAAAAGTATGATTGTTGTTGGTTTTTGAAAATTTTTTTTTTTTTTGTTTTTTTTTTTTTTTTTTTTTTATATAAAAAAAATCTATCAAATTTACCTTTCAGTTACCTCCCCTTATGTCAAATCTCAAGATAGAGAAGAAAACAGACAACCCTTTTGGAATTGACTAAAGATGATAGAGGTACATAGCTTGCACTAAGGAAGAAAGAAACATTGTATCACTTCTTTTCTTTTAGTTAATGGTTGTATACCAAGTTATCGTTGCAAACCCCGAGTTGCTCCTAAACCCATGCCATGCCACTGCAATTTATTTTGGGCTGGAAATTGATTATTTGGATCATTTCAATACACATTCATGGCCCTAATGATCAAGGGGGCTAATGTTGAGGCCCAAAAAATCCACGGTTCGGCCCAAATAAATTTTCGGCCCAATGCGATACCTTATCAAGAAGAAACCCGATTTGGACACGCGAAAGTTCGTCATATACGCTTTGCACACATGTCACGCCAAGCAAATAAGCAACATGTCACGCTACAAGCTTAAGTGGGCCCAAGCCACGTTAATGCCTGGGGCTTGCTGAGCGAGTTGTGGTATGGGTGGTTACGAGTATTCACGAGGCCCATTGATGGTCCAAGGAGTGGAAGTTTTGGGCTACTTGGGAACATCAAAACTTAAGCCCATTCCTTGAGTCCAAACATATGGGCAAGCATGAGAGAAAACCCAATAGCCCATCACCTTAAGAAAAGGCCCAAACATCTTTAAAAAATGTCCAATAGCCATAACCCATAAAAAATCCCACATCAGCCAAAGCTTCTAGCAGTCTGACGAAATCAAAGGGAACTCACAAACTGCTGTAAACAAAACAGCCCAGCCTAGCATTTTATATAATATCCAACGTCGTGCTCTGTTAAAACTAGTTCAAAGCCAAACCAGCAAAAGCAAGCAAACCCATGTGCTAATCACCTTTTTGACCAAGCACCCTTACCCATTCTTTCCTCTTCAAGCTTTGGTGAGAAAACAAGAAGCAAAAGTGGGTGACACCTCACCCACATGAAAAGTCCAGCTGCTTGAGGACCTTGGAACCCCAAAAAGCTGCGTGCCTATGGGTTCAGGCTAGAGAAATTTCACCAAACTACATAAATGGAAGAAAGTGAAGGAAAATGGGAGAGGGTGGCTTGATAAAATTGAGTCTTCTAGCCCCTATAAAAGGAGACACTTTCTTCCCAGCAAAACAACTCACAATGGAGAGAACAGACAAGAACGAATTGAAGGCAAGCGCATCCACTCTGGAATCCTTCAATTTCATGCTTTGTTCTTCCATTTCTCTTCCTCTCTCTCAAAACCGACATCCAGATAGAGCAAGCATCATCTCTCATCTCTAGAACCCTTCGATTTCAAGCCTTGTTCTTCCATTGCTTCCATTTTTCTTCTCTGTCAAATCGCCCATGAGCTTGACGAAGCTTTCCTCAAGCTGCTGGAAATATGCTAAAGCCATCCATGCTTTCATCTTCTACCTCTCTTTCCATAATACAGATTTAGAGAGCAAGCTTCATCTCTTTCAAAGCCTCTGTTCCTCATAGGAAACCCCAAGCCTTCTCTCTCTCATGCTAAACTCACGAATACTCAGCTCACATGCCACAAGCTCTCATGCCAAGCCCAAGAATTTACCTGTAAGCAACTGTCGGTTTCGTTGGTGAAGAAGACCAAGGTGTTTCCTAAAGCTCAGCTACCCTTTCGAAATACTCTTGGGGCCTGATCCTTGAACTCAGACTCAAGGGGCAATTTCACACATGTTTCTCTTTTCGGCAGCCCAAGCCCATTCGTGAAGCTGTTGGAATAAAAAGACCCCTACATTATGAACAATATCATGATGTGTTACCCATTGCACATAAAAAAAAACATATATAAATTTTAAAAGATCTAGCATTACAATTTTTCCAATCCCACATATGATAGCAATTTTTGCAATTTACATAGAACAACATATTTCATCATTTATCAACCTTGAAATTTGAGTACAAAAGAGAAATATAGTCTAACAAACCAAAGAAATATAAATTAAAATAAGTAACCCTTTATTAAAATTATCATAATAAATTCCAAGCAAATACAAGAGGGTCTGAAAATATTTGTGAGGGTGATGAAGTTCCAGAATAAAACCTCAATACAAATTCACTTTGAAGCGACTATTCCCTAGATGCACACGTCGTAATTTTTTTTAATTTCACAAAACTAAGAGTGAACAATAAGAATTGACTAAAGATGATAGAGGTACGTAGCTTGCACTAAGGAAGAAAGAAACATTGTATCACTTCTTTTCTTTTAGTTAATGGTTGCATAGTAGATATACCAAGTTATCGTTGCAAACTCCGAGATATTATTGCAGTGAAGGATGAGCAAAAATCTAGGGCTCTGATTCCAAGAAAAGGGATAATTTATAACCAAGTTTTCGTGTGTTGATTGCTAGGAGTAGTGCTTCTTCCCCTATGCCCCCTATTGGTACTAGTGGAGTAGGGTTGACCTAACCCGTAGAGAAAAGGAGTACAAGATTGTGCTTCATCGTATGGCCAAGTGCCTGGACGTACATATGCTATATTATCATCATTCGGTGCTATTACCATTAATTATGGCATTGGCAGCATGGGTTCGGAACAATGTGCATACATTAATTGCTTGCTACAATCGGCAAAAGTGGTGTAGCATATTTAAACTAATATTTCCTGCATCCAGCTCCAGCCCACAATGGGTTCTTGTGCTCACCCTTTGTGTCCAACATTAATTGTGCTCAATTTAGTCGTCAAAATTAATATTGGGAACCACATGATATATTGTTGAAACTCTTATTATATCTATATATATATGTGTGTGTGGTTGGAAATGTCTGCTATTCCATGCAGAATTGGGAAACTTGTAAAAAAATCATAACTCTGCAACTTAGTGATAATTATCAATTATATAAAATAAATTTAACCTCAGCTTTAGATTATGCCCTCATAATACTAATTAAATACATTTAAGCTTTCCACTCTATAGCAAGCAGCTACTTCGCCGCTTGAACCATTCTTAAGTAACAATAGTAGTCCTCCAGCAAAGCCAACACACTCCCTGAACGCCTTTGCATATATAGTACTATACTATTCCTCTATATCCAATCCTTTGACTCTAGTTTTTCCGCCAAGAATTTCATTGACAAAAAGTCAATCCCTTTGGTGTGCAATCTTTCAATATTTACGCTGTTTCCGATCTCCAACATCTTTTCTATCTCACAAACCCAATTGTCGTCCATCTTCACAAAATCTTGTTCCAAAAAGCCTTTTGCCATAGAGACAGCACGACCTGTGAATTTGTTGTCTTCCACATCAATTTTGTATTTTTCTAAATCTAAAGGCCTCACTCCCAACCATCTAATGTCTTTGATAGCTAAGTTAACGCTATCAAATGCTGAGTTAGCCGAACCATATTTGTAATCAAAAAGTATTTGAAGCCCATACGGATTGCAATCGACAATGGCTAATATCGGAATCCTTAACTCACGATGAAGCTTTTTCAAGAATACCTTGGTTGATCCATCACCATATCCTTGGCCGCTCACCATAATGCATTTAGCATTCTCATGAAAATTCGCTTGGGCTAAATCATGTAACACTGTATTTTTCTCAACCAATAAGATGAAGGATGCCTTACAATTGTTGAACCTAGTATCGGCCATAAACTCACAAGATGGGATCTTCTCGGCACTCGAAGAACATTCATGTGGAGTATCACCGCACACGAAGGTAAATGGACCAATAACCGTACCTGTTGTGTCGGAAACTACCCTGAGACTCAAACTTGTGCACCTTAGCATGCAGCATATGTCATCAATTATTCCATATGCAGTTTTCCGATTACAACTAGATCGCACAAAAATATCATAATAAATCCCACGCTTCTTTACGTACCTTGCTTTATTTTTGAAACATCGGGTGTAAATGCTCGATATAGTGTACAAGGTAGGCAAGCATAACTTTGGACTTCTACCAGATAAGGAATGTCTTATATCATGTTTGAATCTCTGGAAGGCACAGTGAATTCGAAGTCTTCTTTTTCATTCCAGGATTGGGAGGTATCATCTATTAGTTTCTTTAAATCGCGTTGCACATCTTCCCCGGGAAGATCGGACACCTCAACAAATTCTTCTTTTTCTTGTATTGATAAAGATGGGAGAGGGTCAAAATTCCACCTGTGCTCTTCAATGTTCTTCTTGATGAGTTCGAAGTCAATTTTACGTTGCACCTCCAATTGAGATGATTCGTCTCTTGGATGATTAATTTGAAGCGCGGACTCAATGGCCAGCCGTAACTTCTTGTTGATGGAGACACCTTTGTTTATTTTTATGCACGGGAAGGAGACACTTTTATCGCGCTTCGGCATTGTCAAAAGGTATTCTCAACAGAAGCCTTGAAGAGCTTTATACAACAGCTGCGGCACAAAATAAAAAGGTTTTAGTGTTTTGGGTGAAATTTCATATGAAAAAAGTTAAAAGTCTTACCGGGAAATTTGTTGGGGACTGTTCTCCGAAAAATAGTTCAAAATAAAAATAATATTGTAGATTGAATGAAAAGAAAGAGATGGTGTAAATTAAAAAAATAAAAAATAAAAATCTCAGCATCTATTAGCAAATTAGCAATTCAAGGGGGGAAAAAACAACAATAACCGCTATCGACATACACAACAGGGTAGGGTACAAGAGAAGAAGATTAACCTTAATCCAACGAACAAAATAAAGTAAGGAGGAAAGAAGGGGTGTTGCCTCTCGTCGGTGCTTCAAACCTTAGCAGGTGTCTTCAGATACTTGGGGGGTGCACTTTCACTTGCTGTTAGTGGATATGACCAAGAATGTGCTCAAGGCACTTCTTTTAAACTACCATGGGTTTGGACCTGCCTTTCCTACAAATTTTGGGAGTCTGAATTCAAGAAAACAGGAAACGAGTTTTGGGTATCTTGTTCCCCAAGAAAAGACGTGGAGCCTTGGGGAATATCTTTCAAATTATGTCATTAAAGGAAACAAGTTTTGGGTATCCTGTTCTAAAAACTCAAATCAAATCAGATTCCCAAGTTTTGGGTATACTGAAAAAGAAAGAAATAAAATAGAAAGTACAAGACACAGCCACACATATTTTGTATTTTGTTGGTCTCCTATATTTAAACGGATAAAAGTATATTAGTTTTTACCAAATAGTGTTTTTACGGACGGTCTCTTTGGTTTGGTGCTTTTCTTCTTCAACGAGGCTTACATATAGACAAGAGACTGAATTAGTTTACAAAGAAAGAAAATGCCACACTAAGAGTACTCATAATATAAACACAGCTAAAATAATGTTCTTCCAAAGCCAACATCAGGATAGATGGGTGGCCTTAACCAGACAGGATACCATACGGCCAATGTGATCAAAATCCAGCAAGTTAGTTCATACTTCCTCTGTTTCCCAGTTATTTTGGTCACTTGACCGTCGTTGATCAATAACTAAACACAAATTTGTGCACGGCATCTGCCATTCTAACAACCATTAACATTTTCTAGATTAACCCGTGCATTACATGAACCGCCAAAATCTATATGTCTACACGCACAAATATAACACAAACTGTGAACTTAAACCAAAATGTAACAAAAGATAAAGTTTTAAGGCAAGTTCATGGGAGAGCAAGAGATATATATACCCATCCCAGGCACTTGATAATCGTTAACGATTTCGAAGTTTTTATATGTGTAGCCCACAAAATTAATGTCCTTAGAGGAGAGCATCTGCAAAATGGAGAGAAAATAATGGAAAACTTGGAAAGATTTTGGGGGTGGCAAATTGTATATACAAATTAGTGACAATAGCTAAGAAGAGACAAAACCCAAAAGCTTACCTTTCTCCAGGGACCAGTTCTGGATGAACTCTGAGTTTGGGTGTCAGACAATTACTATAAATCAAATTATCAGCAATATGATATGCTCGACACAAGTGGCTTCACAAACTCCACAAAAATTGAGGAATATCTCTACCTCTTTGAACTTTTCAAAATTTTGAGTATCCAAAACATCATTGACCTCAGGAATAAATGCAGCTTCCATTTGATAAAGCTTATCCCATTCAGTACCATCGAACCATGGCGACTGGTGATTGTAGTTCTTCCTCCTTTTCTTCTGGTAACCATCCTCAATTGAAAAATCCATGGCTTTTCGATTTCTTAATATGGGGGTTTCCTTCTTTTGCAGAAGACGTTTAGCGGCAATCTCAGTGGCAATTTCTTTATTTTTAATACTAAAATTAAAACAATACGTGTGTTTGGGCTTGGGCCCTATTTTTAAAACTGGACCGGTTTGTCGGTGCAGTGTTCTTCCAACAAAAAAGAAAAAGTCGGTGTTCATCTACATAAATGAAGGCACAGGCATTCAAGAGAAAAACGCAAGTCTTCTTCTCCAACCAACACTAAAAAATATTTGTCTTCTCTTCTCTCAACCCATCGCTCCCTCGCGAGTCGCCCGTTCCGAGGAAGAAACAATGAGTAAAGAGACGCTGCGAGTCGTTTTAGAGATAATCGAGACTGTGATGCAAAAAAGCGATGCTCTGTCTGGCGCAACTGATACTGTATGCATGCGTTTCTCTCTCTCTCTTTCCTTTTTTCAGTAAACTTAAATGTATGATTGTTGTTGGTTTTTTTTATAAAAAAAATTCTATCCAATTTGCCTTTCAGTTACCTCCCCTTATGTCAAATCTGAAGATAGAGAAGAAAACAGACGACCCTTCTGGACGGCAGCAGGAGGAGGGGGAGGAGGAGGAGGAGGAGGAAGAGCAGGATTCGAGCGAGTAAAAATCCTCACTCATTTAGTTTGACCTCTATTCTTGTAAGTTTTAACGTGTCCTCATGTATGATATGATTTTCCCCTCTTTCCCATTCTGCAGGTACGCCGAGTCTCTTCTTGGTTTTCTCCATGAACCTACTGTAGATTTTGTGAACGAAGCATGCGACACGGAGGAGGAGCGTCATAGGGCTATGAAGTCCATCTGCAGATTGGTTGTAAGTCTTGAATCGGTAAGATCCTGACCTAACCAAACTTGTCACATGTCTCTATACAAGTTGGATATGTCTTTTCCTTTTTTCTGCTCTTTTTATTTATTCATTTATTATGCTGCTAGTTCAGATGTTGGTACAACCATTCCTGATAAGGTGATAACCAGTATGATTCCCAGTTTTCATCTTCTTTTCAAGATTTGGCACTTCAGTTGTTTTTGTGAGGTCTATTATTTGCATATTAAGCACATACAAAAGCTTTTTCTCTGCTCTGGAAACATCTGGGTTCGTTGATCTAATTAAAGTGATTCTAATTCGATGTATAGGGGATTTTTAATTCCAGGAGTCAAAGCATGATGTGGTGGTCATCTATGTAATCAAATAGATAAGCCGATGTTGAGATGCATGCGTTTACTTCTTGTTTGTTTGTAAACTTTGTAATATCACTTTGGAATTAAATTTTGCTTCTATGATTGTTGTAGGAAGCTGCTCGTGATCTTGAGGAATTCGAGGCATCCATCCCTGAGAATCCTCAAGAATGGACACGAGAGGTGAGGAAATAATAACCATGTATTTGGTATACTTTATTAGCTTCTTGTTTGTAAATATTGTTGCAATCACCTTCTTTGAGTTCTTGATTGTTGTTGGTTGACTATGAGCCTGATATGGTAAAATAGTAAGTAATTCCCCATTTTGTTTGGTCTTGGTGTGTATATTTAGCACCTTAATTGCTTTTCAGATGTCTATTATTCGTATATCTGTTTGATGAGCCGTGTCATGGAAACATACATCCATGTCATCCAGTAAATATGCTGCCAATGCTAAGAGGCATTAATTCAATATCTTGTTTGCAAATGTTATAATCAGACCGGAGTTTGAATATGATTGTTGTAGGAGAGCTTTCGGCTTGCATTGTTTTCTCTCGCAGGGCTCCTTATTATTCATATTATTAGACACACACAACGTAAGGTCTTCTAGGTCTTGCTCTGGAGATATCAGCTTCTGTTGGTCGTCTTTAAGAATGTTATTCTAATGTGATGTGCGGAGGGATTGTTTATGGAGTCAAAAAATTGCTATAGTTTGTACTGAAACAGTTTTGTACTGGATTTTTGCAGATGTGGGAGTATATGTACGAAAAGGAAAAGGAGGAGGTGAGGAATTTCGAAGAGCAGCAGGTGAGGAACTAAAATTTGGTCAAATGTATTATCCGAAGTGTTTCATGTTTGATATATATATAAATCAAGTTGATATGTCAATGTTTGGGTTGGGATGCATGCCACAATAGCTTCTTTGGAAATGTTGTAACTCACTTTTCATCTTTGATTGTTGTTGTATGACAGTTGGCTTTGGAGAAGAAGAAGCGGATACAAAAGCGATTGGATAAAACATATCGAAGAAGACGGAAAATTGCGAAGAAGACAAGTAAAAGAGAGAGAGAGAGCTCAAGTGGCTTGGCTTGAATATGTCTACTGTTTTTCATGTTCTAAATTAATTAATTAATGCTGACTCAGAGAAAGGAATTGGTTTCCCATTTCATCTATTCTATGTTTTTTGGTTGCATTTTTAAGTATAATAATACTGGGTTGTTGTTTTTGCATTTGTGGGTTATTATTTTATTATAGCTCCCTTTTTCAATACAACAATTTTGAGATGAGCTAGCTCACTGTCTTCTAGCATTTGTTTATCAATGATTCTTTTGGATGTTATTTATTTGTTTATGTTAAAGTGCGTTGTTGTGACGGAAAAAAACAGAGGAAAAAAAAACAGTGTAAAGAATTGCTTCTGCCAGAAGTGTAATTGAGGAGATGTATGGGTTTGGTGTTGTGTCGAGTGTACTACAGTGTATCAGTGGTATTTTTGGATAGGAAAAAACTTACATACAAAGCATGACAAGAGCTTTGTTTTTTGGGTGAATAACTTGACAAGAGCTTATAATAATTCACTCGCCAAATTTTGCCTTTAGGAACGGATAATATACATTGCCAAATCATCCTTGCTATTGTGGTATCACTCACCTTTGCCTATAACATTACCTTTACATATTTGTAACATTAGTTTTATAATAACCACTACGGTTTATACTGCACTAATGCATTTTCTGACTTACAACATCACAAAAATCAATAGTTATGATACTACTTCTAGTTAGACGCATCCGTTGTGCCATGAGTGATGTTGTTTTAAATTTTGAACTTTAGTTGTTTGTGCAAAATTGAGGTTGTTATGAACAATTCAGGAACCAGTTCGTTATTAAAATCAAACACATGCATTGGTGTACCAACAGTGGAATAAGCCTGCAGTGGCCATATATCAGGAATTAAGGGAGGTTTATGGTAATGGATTAGGACATTTCGGTAGGGATAAAACATTGGCTATGGTGATTGATCGTAATGCACAAAGAAAGATGCTGATGTCGGAAGTGTCAAATTTGCCAGTTTGGCAAAGGATGTTCACAAAACAAGGAATTAAATCAAATCCTAGTTAAGATAGGAAAATAATTAATTGAATAATTTAATATAGCTAAAACTTAGCCCCTTTGGCAAGGATGGATGCTCCTGCATCACAAGTGCATCCTGCCTTTTTCAATACACAACATAAAACGATTAATTCATAATTTGTGATGCTAAACTAAATACAATTAAAACCTTAAACATTTTTCCTCCATATTATTCACTACCCAACAAATCATCACTATCCTGTTATTTTTCAATTAGGGAAGGAGACCTCACAACAGGACCTCACATTGTGTCAAGTTTTGGAATTATTTGTTGATGTATATACAACATTTCAAAATATACTTTGGACCAAAAAATCACCCAAAAATTAAAAAAGTTATGAACCATTTCCTAATACATTTCTGTAAAACAATACTATGGAAGCCCTTCCTAATACATCTAAATTTCAGACTTTCAGTAAGTCTTAATACGCAGTACAACTTAATGAAAGCCCTTGCTGAATTCAAATATATACAAAAAAAATCCCCTTTTAAAGCCAAAGTGCATCATACAAAAAAGAATATGATTTAATTCTGTCAAAATAAAAGGTTAATGCCCAAACTAGCAGTAGGTTTATGCAAGCAAAAGCGTGGATTCACCGTGATATATAAACTCGATCTGAGACAGAGAGGGGTACCATGGCGATTGGTGATTGTAGTTCTTCCTCCTTTTCTTCTGGTAACAATCCTCAATTGAAAAATAGTTTGACTCTTGAGATACGTTGAGAGTGAGAGAGAGAGAGAGAGAGAGAGAGAGAGAGAGAGAGAGGATGGGAGTTTCCTTCTGTTGCAGAAGACGTTTAGATGGAACCAACTCAGTGGCAATCTCCGTAAATTTCTTTAGTTTTAATACTAAACTTAAAACAATATGCGTGTTTGGGCTTGGGCCCTATTTTTAAAACTGCAGCGGTTTGTCGGTGGAGTGTTCTCTATATAAAAGGCTGAGGCACGCATTCAGGAGGAAAACGCGCAGTCGTCTTCTCCAACCAACCCTAAAAAAGATTTGTCTTCTCTTCTCTCCACCCATCGCTCGCTCGCTCGTTCCAAGAAAGAAACAATGATTAGCAAGTCGCTGCAAGTCCTTTTAAACATGCTCGACAGCACGGTGGAAGAACCCAATGCTCTGTCTTGCCCAAGTGATACTGTATGCATGCGTTTCTCTTTCTCTCTCTTTCGTTTTTTTCAGTATTTAACTTTCTTTTTAATCTAATATAAACTTAAAAGTATGATTGTCGTTGGTTTTTTTATATTTAAAAGTTCTATCCAATTTGCCATTCAGTTACCTCCCCTTATGTCAAATCTCAAGATAGAGAAGGAAACGGACGAAGCTCCTGGACGGCAGCGGGAGGAGGAGGAGGAGGGAGAGCAGGATTCGAGCGAGTAAAAATCCTCACTCACGTAGTTTGGCCTCTATTCTTCTAATTTTTGACGTGTCTTCATGTACGATGTGATTTTTCCGCTCTTTCCCATTGTGCAGGTATCCCGATTATTTTCTTGGTTTAAGTCGTGACATCTTTGAAAGGTCAGTGAAGAAACATTGCGACACGGACGAGGAACGCCATAGGGCTATGAAGTCCATCTCCAGATTTTGTGCACTTGTTGAATCGGTAACTAAAACTTGTCACTTGTCTCTTTAACAAGTTGTGCACTTGTTTAGGTGTTGATTCCCAGTTTCCCTCGTCTTCTTTTCAAGATTTGCCATCTAATAAATCACTTGATATTAATGAAAGTAGATTAAGGTTTATTATTTGCATATTAAGCACATACAAAAGTTTTTTCTCTGCTCCAGAAAAATCTACGTCTGGGTTCAGTGGTCATCTGTGTAATCAAGTAGATGAGCCGGTGTTGAGATGCATGCATTTATTTCTTGTTTGTTTGTAAACGTTATAATATCACTTTGGAATTAAATTTTGCATCTATGATTGTTGTAGGGTGCTCCTCGTACTATTGAAGAATTCGAGGCATCCATCCCCGACAATCCTAAAGACTGGACACAAGAGGTGAGGAAATTATAACCATGTATTTGGTATACTTTATTAGCTTCTTTTTTGTAAATATTGTTGCAATCACCTTCTTTGGGTTCTTGATTGTTGTTGGTTGACTATGAGCCTGAGATGGTAAATAGTAAGTAATTCCTCATTTTGTCTGGTCTTGGTGTGTATTTTTAGCACCTTAATTGCATTTCAGAGGTCTATCATTCGTATATTTGTTTGATGAACCGTGTCATGGAAACGTACATGTGGTTTCACTTGTCATCCATGTCATCCAGTAAATATGCTGCCAATCTTGAGAGGCATTCAATATCTTGTTTGCAAATGTTATAATCAGACTGGAGCTTGTATTTCTGATTGTTGTAGGAGAGCTTTCGACCATTGCATGGGGTCCTTGTTATTCATATTATTAGACAGACCACAAATGATGTGTTAGGCACACACAACACAACGTTGTGTAGGTCTTGCTCTGGAAATATCAAGGCTCTGCTGGTCATCTTTAAGAATGCTATTCTAATGTGATATGTGAAGGGATTGTTAATGGAGTCAAAAAAATTGCTGTAGTTTTTGTACTGAAACAGTTTTGTATTGGATTGTTGCAGATGTGGGAGTATATGTACCAAAAGGAACAGGAGAGTATGAGGAAATTCACAGAGCAGCAGGTGAGGAAGTAAAATTTCGTAAAATGTATTATCCAAAGTGATTCATGTTTGATATATATATATATATATATAGGTGGATTGATTGTTCCAAGAGTCTATGAATATGGTGATCTATCTATATATGTAAAATCAAGTTGATATGTCAATGTTTGGGTTGGGATGCATGCCACAATATCTTCTTTGGAAATGTTGTAATTCACTTTTCATCTTTGATTGTTGTTGTATGACAGTTGGCTTTGCAGAAGCAGAAGCGGATACAGAAGCGATTGGACAAAAAATTTCATAGAAGACGGAAAATTGTTAAGAAGACAAGTAAAAGAGAGAAAGAGAGCTCAAGTGGCTTGGCTTGAATATGTCTAGAATTTTTCATGTTCTGAATAAATTAATTAATCAATGCCGACTCGTAAGAAGGAATTGGTTTCCCATTCCATATATTCTAGATATGTTTTTTGGTTTATTACTAATATTGGGTCCTTGTTTTTGCATTCGTGGGTAATTATTTGATTATAGCCGCATTTTCAATGCAACAATTTTGAGATGAAATAGCTCACTATCTTCTCGCATTTGTTTATCAATGATGCTTTTGGATGTTATTTGTTTGTTTTTGTTAAAATAAAACAAAATGTGAAGAATCAAGACACGTTTAAGTTGTGTTTTTACGATATTTTCAGATTTAATTCCAAATTCAAATTTTCAATTGAGATTGTTTACAATAAATCTCCCAACCTCATAAAAAGGTAGGAAATTGTATAATTTGCGGCAGATAATTAATTAGCTTTAACTTTAATTGGTAAGGGGGTTGGTGTGTGTGTGAAAAGAGGAAAACCCTCTCAACTAAGCAAATCAAATATCAGAAAAATATCTCTGACAACCAAATCTAAGTTTTAGACCTATGAGTTCATCTTATCTCTATTATTCTCTTCTCTCATCTTGCATAAAATCCAACACCACAAAACCAAAGTCAGCACTGGAATTGGCATAAGAATTTTACGAAAGAGAAACACATAAGAGAAAAATACTCAAACCTCAGTTTCACATGGACTGACAGAAACAGTCGCACTTTGCCTCTAAGCCTTCATTATTTCTTCTCCCGTGGAACTGCAAAGGCCCTTTTTTGGGTTTTGAAGGATATCAATTAATGTGCTTTTTTCTTTTTCTTTTCATTTGCTCAGAATTGATCTGTTTTTTCTTCTTTTTTTCCGTGGGTAATCATTTGTTTATCAATGATTCTTTTGGATGTTATTTGTTTGTTTATCTTAAAATAAAACAACGTGTGAAGAATCAAGACAGGTTTAAGTTGTGTTTTTACAATAAATCTCATTAAAAAAAAAGGGAAATTGCATCCTTCCATTAAGGCGATGCTAACAGACCAAAATAATTCCTTCTTACCCCTACCAGCCAAAGTAGGCAGAAATAAATAAAAAAAGGCATCTATATCTATATCTATATAAAGGCACAGACACAGGCATCAAACCCTAAAAAAGATTTGTCTTCTCTTCTCTCAGCCCATCGCTCCCGCGCTCGCTCGTTCCAAGAAAGAAACAATGAGTAAAGAGTCGCTGCGAGTCGTTTTAGAGATAATCGAGACTGTGATGAAAAGAAGCGATGCTCTGTCTGGCGCAACTGATACTGTATGCATGCGTTTCTCTTTCTCTCTCTTTCCTTTTTTTTTCTTTCAATAAACTCAAAAGTATGATTGTTGTTGTTTTTTAAAAAAAAAAAATTCTATCAAATTTGCGTTTCAGTTACCTCCCCTTATGTCAAATCTCAAGATAAAGAAGAAAACAGACGACCCTTCTGGACGGCAGCAGCAGGAGGAGGAGGAGGAGGAGGAGGAGGAGGTGGGAGAGCAGGTTTCGAGCGAGTAAAAATCCTCACTCATTTAGTTTGGCCTCTATTCTTGTAAGTTTTAACGTGTCCTCATGTATGATATGATTTTCCCCTCTTTCCCATTCTGCAGGTATGCCGAGTCTGTTCTTGGTTTTCTTCATGAACCTACTATAGATTTTGTGAATGAAGTATGCGACACGGAGGAGGAGCGTCATAGGGCTATGAAGTCCATCTGCAGAATGTTTGCAAGTCTTGAATCGGTAAGATCCTGACCTAAGCAAACTTGTCACTTGTCTCTATACAAGTTGGGTATGTCTTTTCCTTTTTTCTGCTAGTTCAGATGTTGGTACGACCACTCCTGATAAGGTAATAACCCGTATGATTCCCAGTTTTCCTCGTCTTCTTTTCAAGATTTGGCACTTCAGTTGTTTTTGTGAGGCCTATTATTTGCATATTAAGCACATACAAAAGCTTTTTCTCTGCTCTGGAAACATCTGGGTTCGTTGATCGAGTAAAACAAAGTGATTCTAATTCGATGTATAGGGGATTTTTAATTCCAGGAGTCGAAGCATGATGTGGCGGTCATCTATGTAATCAAGTGGATAAGCCGATGTTGAGATGCATGCCTTTACTTCTTGTTTGTTTGTAAACGTTGTAATATCACTTTGGAATTAAATTTTGCATCTATGATTGTTGTAGGATGATGCTCGTGATCTTGAGGAATTCGAGGCATCCATCCCTGAGAATCCTCAAGAATGGACACAAGAGGTGAGGAAATAATAACCATGTATTTGGCATACTTTATTAGTAGCTTCTTGTTTGTAAATATTGTTGCAATCACCTTCTTTGAGTTCTTGATTGTTGTTGGTTGACTATGAGCCTGATATGGTAAAATAGTAAGTAATTCCCCATTTTGTTTGGTCTTGGTGTGTGTATTTGGCACCTTAATTGCTTTTCAGATGTCTATGATTCGTATATCTGTTTGATGAGCCATGTCATCCAGTGAATATGCTGCCAATGTTAAGAGGCATTAATTCAATATCTTGTTTGCAAATGTTATAATTGCATTGTTTTCTCTCGCAGGGCTCCTTATTATTCATATTATTAGACACACACAACACAAGGTCGTCTAGGTCATGCTCTGGAGATATCAGCTTCTGTCGGTCATCTTAAAGAATGTTATTCTAATGTGATATGCGGAGGGATTGTTTATGGAGTCAAAAAATTGCTATAGTTTGTACTGAAACAGTTTTGTACTGGATTTTTGCAGATGTGGGAGTATATGTACGAAAAGGAACAGGAGGAGGTGAGGAATTTCGAAGAGCAGCAGGTGAGGAACTAAAATTTGGTAAAATGTATTGTCCAAAGTGATTCATGTTTGATATATATATGTAAAATCAAGTTGATATGTCAATGTTTGGGTTGGGATGCATGCCACAATAGCTTCTTTGGAAATGTTGTAACTCACTTTTCATCTTTGATTGTTGTTGTATGACAGTTGGCTTTGGAGAAGAAGAAGCGGATACAAAAGCGATTGGATAAAACATATCGAAGAAGACGGAAAATTGCGAAGAAGACAAGTAAAAGAGAGAGAGAGAGCTCAAGTGGCTTGGCTTGAATATGTCTACTGTTTTTCATGTTCTAAATTAATTAATTAATGCTGACTCAGAGAAAGGAATTGGTTTCCCATTTCATCTATTCTATGTTTTTTGGTTGCATTTTTAATTATAATAATACTGGGTTGTTGTTTTTGCATTTGTGGGTTATTATTTTATTATAGCTCCCTTTTTCAATACAACAATTTTGAGATGAGATAGCTCACTATCTTCTAGCATTTGTTTATCAATGATTCTTTTGGATGTTATTTATTTGTTTATGTTAAAGTGAGTTGTTGTGACGGAAAAAAACAGAGGAAAAAAAACACAAAGTGTAAAGAATTGCTTCTGCCAGAAGTGTAATTGAGGAGCTGTATGGGTTTGGTGTTGTGTGATAGAGTGTACTATAGTGTATCAGTGGTATTTTTGGGTAGGAAAAAACTTACATACAAAGCATGACAAGAGCTTTGTTTTTTGGGTCAATAACTTGACAAGAGCTTATAATAATTCACTCGCCAAATTTTGCCTTTAGGAACGGATAATATACATTGCCAAATCACCCTTGCTACTGTGGTATCACTCACCTTTGCCTATAACATTACCTTTATATATTTGTAACATTAGTTCTATAATAACCACTACGGTTTATATTGCACTAATGCATTTTCTGACTTACAACATCACAAAAATCAATAGTTATGATGCTACTTCTAGTTAGACGCATCCGTTGTCCTATGAGTGATGTTTTAAATTTTGAACTTTAGTTGTTTGTGCAAAATTGAGGTTGTTATGAACAATATCATGATGTGTTACCTATTGCACATAAAAAAAACATATATAAATTTAAATATATCTAGCATTACAATTTTTCCAACCCCGCATATGACAACAATTTTTGCAATTTATATATGACAACATATTTCTTCATTTATCAACCTTAAAATTTGAGTACAAAAGAGAAATACAGTCTAACAAACCAAAGAAATATAAATTAAAATAAGTAGCCCTTTATTAAAATTATCATAATAAATTCCAACCAAATACAAGAGGGTCTGAAAATATTTGTGAGGAAGCGTGGAAAATATATTTTGGGAATTAGGACTGCAATAAAGAAATCAAATAGAAATATGAATTATCATTTCATATTGGATAGGTATTGCTATTTTATGACATGAAAAATTGTGAAAGCATGTTGAATTTGTATCATGTGGGCACCTGAGAAGCTTTTTGGGAGTTGAAGCTCATGCCTACCTTGCCAACCTAGTGCCTACCCTACGTTACATATGGGTATTATTATTTTTTTTTTGGAAAACTTCTGGGTAGGTAAATTGCCCTTGCTCTTAACGAAGGATCGTCACTGAATAGGGTGTATTTAGTAAATTTACTATTTGATTTAAATATTATGGTTTACTTTTTTTTTTTGTCAAACAAATGTTATGTTGTACTTTTAGATTCTAGAGTATGTACTCAGTTAATTTTAAAGTTGGTTTAATAATACCCTTGTGATATATATGCAAAAGAGTGCCTTCATTTTAAATCCAACATACAACATATTCACGAGTGAACCCAACTCATGACCAAGAAGCCACCAAAAGCAGCATCGCGGTCGCTGCCGCCGTTAAAGCCTCTCTCACACGAAGACTGGCGGTGGTGCAGATGGAGACCACCCATGCTGCAGTCATAAGTAGTTGAAATTAAATAAGAAATATCTTCAATAAAATGCTAGTAAAAGTGGGTTTGCGCAATAAATAAAAAAAATGCAAAGTCGGTCTTCCCGAACCCTAAAAAAGATTGTCTTCTCTTCTTTCCCCCATCGCTCGCTCCCTTCAAGAAACAAGGATGAAAAACTCGTTAGAAAGCCCTGAACCGGAGAACAACAGCAATGCTGACCCAAGTGATACTGTATGCATGCGTTTCTCTTTCTCTCTCTCTCTCACCATTCACATTCTGTCTTCCTCTCTTGGTCGTTTTTGTTTGCTCCCTTGGTTAAGGGTTGTTTTGTTTCTCTTGGCCTTCTCTTATGGGCTGCACTGCTCATCATATATATGGTTGGGATTTGGTTTTATTCTAGACTCACATAATAAATAATAAACTGAAAAACTTTCAAAAGAAATCAATAATTTGAAGCTGCCTATCATACATTGATTGATTTTTTATAATTCTATCCAATTTTCCATTCAGTTACCTCCCCTTCAAATCTCGATATAGAAAAGAATACGGAAGAATCTCCTCGACGGCAGCAGGAGGGAGAGCATGATCCGATCAAGTAAAAATCCTCACTTATTTAGTTTGGACTCTATTCTTGTAGTTTTTAACGTGTCCTCATGTATGATGTTAATTCTGCAGGCATGCCAATTCTATTCTTGCTTTTTTCCATGATGCTATTGAAGACTTAGTGAAGTTCAATTCTCACATGGGCTTCGATCGTGATACCCTTAATAGATTCGTCACCCAATCGTTTGCAGACCCTCGATTTGCTGACCTAATGAAAGTTTTCAGCTTATGTCTTTTACTTTTTTCCTTTTCTTATCCTGCTCTTGTTATTTATTAATTAGTTTTTTTTCGTTTTGAGTGTCGCAGGACGATGCTGCAAGTTCAGATGTTGGTACAACCATTCCTGATAAGGTAAATAACCAGTGTGATTCCCAGTTTTCGTCATCTTCTTTTCATATTAAGCACATCTGGGTTTGTTCTAATTCTATATAGTTGGGGGATTAATATTATTCCAGGAGTCAAAAAGCATTATGCAATCAAGTAGATAAGCCGATGTTGAGATGCATGCCTTCACTTGTTTGTTCGTAAATGTCGTAATATCACTTTGGAATTTAATTTTGCATCTATGATTGTTGTAGGTTGCTAGTCGTGAAGATTTCGAGGCATTGATCCCTGAGGATCCCGACGACTGGACAGAAGAGGTGAGGAAATAATAACCATGTATTTGGTAAACTTTATTAGCTTGTCTTGATTGTTGTTGGTTGACTATGAACCTGATATATGGTAAATAGTAAGTAATTCCTCGTTTTGACTGGTCTTGCTGTGTATATTTCGCTCCTTAACACAATGTCGTCTAGGTCTTGATCTGGAAATATCAGGTTCTGCTGGTCATCTTTAAGAATGTTATTCTAATGTGATATGGGGAGGGATTGTTAATGGAGTCAAAAAATTGCTGTAGTTTTTGTACTGAAACAGTTTTGTTCTGGATTTTTGCAGATGTGGGACTATTGTTACCAACAGGAACAGGAGGATATGAGGAATTTCGCAGAGCAGCAGGTGAGGAAGTAAAATTTGGTAAAATGCATTATCCAAAGTGATACTTATTTGATATATATATATGCAAAATCAAGTTGATATGTCATTGTTTGGGATGGGATGCATGCTATAATAGCTTCTTTGAAAATGTTGTAATTCACTTTTCATCTTTGACATTTGGATTTGCAGAAGCAATTGGACGGAAAATTTTGAAGAAGACAAGAGAGAGAGAGAGAGAGAGAGAGAGAGAGAGAGATCAAGTGGTTGGCTTGGCTTGAATATGTCTAGTATTTTTCATGTCCTGAATAAATAAATTAATGCTGACTCGGATTGGGAAAGGAATTGGTTTCCCATTCCATCTATTCTAGATATGTTTTATTTTTTATGAAAGACATTTAAAATAGAGAAAGCAAAGAGCAACATTTTGCCCATTACACAATGCTTGGATACCCTTCCTTCCTCGTTCTCATACGTAAAGAGTCTTGGTTCACGCTGCAATGGTTGTTTTTAATCATGCTCATGCATGCATGACATATCAGAAGTTATTAATTCATCAATCTTCAGCACACCCACCTGACTGGTTTGCATTGCAATTTGCATACACGTCCTAGTCATCTAATCTGCAGCAAATTTTAGACCACGTGAATCATGTTGATGAAGGCCAGGCCTTCCTTCCCGCAGACGCCTTGCTGATATTTCAAAATCAAATCTCAATACAGTTTGCTCTGTTGAGGAAAGGAGTATGCTTCATCATTTGGCTGGGTGTTGGGTTGAGAGAGAAGGGACTGGGTCTGCTTGGGTGTTGGGTGGACTAAGAGATTCCAGGGGGTTTGGAACAACTTTTGCCACATAAGCATTTAACATATCTACTAACGGTTTCACTGACGGATAGTTCATGTATGAATTTGAAAATATGTCTAGTTTGGAGGGTTCTTTTGTAGTTGACCCTTAATTACATTGTTTTGCTGCTACCCACCCTTAATTATACTGTAGTTCAGAACTTTTTAGTTGATTGGTAATTAACAAATCGGAAAACTATATTCTAACCGAAAAGTAATTAACAACTTAAGATGGGGTCACACATGTTTTGTATTTTGTTGGCTCGAAGCATGCGTGAAAAATCTCGCAAGCATGACGTAAACTGAATTTGATCAATTGGTTTCTAAGCTACAACAAACAGAAAATAAAATAAAAAGAAATACAGAGTGAACAAATTGTATTTTTGCTGTCATTATTTAATACAGTGAATGGCACATGTATACAGTGAATGAATTTGAGCGTCTTTTGTACAGTATTTTGGTAGAATGACAACAAAGAAGAAGAAGAAGAAAATTACATTACAGCGTTAGTGGTAAATGAATTGATATTTACTCTGGAGTTTTTCTTTAACTTTCAAGACAGAAAAACTTACAGGACGCCCAGTGAGAATTAGTGGCTTCAAAATCAGTGCCTTTCTTCAGGCCTTAGAGCCTGGGTTTGGTTTTTAATCATACCTCAAAGCTCCAGCCTGTATAGCCAACGAAAAAAATATAGGCACAGAAGGCAGCATCTGTTAAGGACCCATGGGTAGAACTTGCCCCTACTTTCGGCTTCAAAGTCAAAATACAATTGGGAACAAGCTCCTAGACCATCTGACGGATTGGCAAGGTCAGAGAGAGTCGTCCCGATGTTGAGATACTTCTAACTGGGGAGGCAAGAGGTTCAAAAAGCTCCCTTGCACAGGATGACTGCTTCCGCTGTCAGATATCTCTGATGTCTCCGATGTCTCTGACTCTTCATCTGCTTCAAGTGAACACAAAAAGGTGAGAAAAGTAAAAGACATTTGCTCTAAATTTAAATGGATAAAGGTATAAGTTTACCAAATAGTGTTTTTACAGACGGTCTCTTTGGTTTGGTGCTTTTCTTCTTCAACGAGGCTTACGTAGAGACAAGAGACCGAATCAGTTTACAAAGAAAGAAAATGCCACACTAAGAGTACTTATAATATAAACATTGCAGTATAACCAGCTAAAATAATGTTCTTCCAAAGCCAACATCAGGATGGATGGGTGGCCTTAACCAGACAGGATACTATATATAATCAAAATCCAGCAAGTTAGTACATGCTTCCTCTGTTTCCCAGTTATTTTGGTCACTTGACTGTCATTGATCAATAACTTAACAATAATCTGTGTACGGCATCTCCCATTCGAACAACCATTAACATTTTCTAGATTAACCCATGCATTACATGAACCCTCAAAATCTATATATCTACACACACAAATATAACACAAACTGTGAACTTAAACCAAAATGTAACAAAAGATAAAGTTTTAAGGCAAGTTTATGGGAGAGCAAGAGATATATATACCCATCCCAGGCACTTGATAATCGTTAACGATTTCGAAGTTTTTATATGTGTAGCCCACAAAATTAATGTCCTTAGAGGAGAGCATCTGCAAAATGGAGAGAAAATAATGGAAAGATTTGGGGGTAGCAAATTGTATATACAACTTAGTGACAAAAGCTAAGAATAGACAAAACTCAAAAGCTAACCTTTCTCCAGGGACCAGTTTTGGATGAACTCTGAGTTTGGGAGTCAGACTGCAGACCAAAAATTAGTATAAATCAAATTATCAGAAATATGATGTGCTCGACACAGGTAGCTTCACAACTCCACAAAAATTGAGGCATATCTATACATACCTCTTCGAACTTTTCAAAATTTTGAGTATCCAAATCATCATTGACCTCAGGAATAAATGCAGCATCCATTTGATAAAGCTTCTCCCATTCAGTACCATTGAACCAAGGATGAACCTGAAAAAGGAATCAGCAGCAACGTAATTCCCATTATATGCCACAAGTTCATGAACAAATTGAAGAAATTTAGAACAGGACACACCATACAACACCTTTATTTCATCTGCCCCGTTTGTTCCCAACCTTTGGTTGACATTACACAAGAGTTTACTGATAAGATCTTTTGCCTCTGGAGATAGCTTTGCTTCTTCTGGAAACTTCAAATGAGTTCTCCAGTTTACAATCTGCAAGAGACGGGCAAGACAAAAAACATTATTACGCAAATAGTCAGTTACGGACAAGTGTGGTTCACTACAGTTAAAACATAAGTGGCATCATCAACAGCGTGTCATGTCGAGTCAGGGGAGTCTACAAATGTCCCAAGTCATATAATTAGTTATCAAAAAGAACCATAGTATATCAACTTCTACCACAAAGGAAGCCATGGAGGTGAGCAGGGCTTATGATATGAATCATTTAAGCTCCAAAATTATGAAAACAATAATTAAAGAAGAAGAAGAGCACGTAAAAGTTTCATTACTGCAACACCGAATGAGAGCAATTAACTACACTTCACCAAAGTGCACAAACAATCCAGGAACCAGCTCGTTATTAAAATCAAACACATGCATTGGAATCTACAAATTGAAGGATGCAGATTGATTAACTAAATTTTCAGAAACACGTAAGCTCTGTAAATGATGAAAAGAGATGTCACAAGCCAAAGAGGCATGCCCTCGGAAATTACGCTTGAGGCTTTAAAAAAGAGATATATTAAAATAAAATGTTCAATATTTCTAAAATTTACCTTCCTGCATGTTGACATCGGATCATCAGAATAGAAGGGTGGGTAACCCACAAGCATTTCATACATAATGGCACCAAGTGACCACCTGCTCATCGACGAAAATCATAACCTTGTCAATCCAGGCATCCAAAAACAAAGTAGCTCTTCAGTTCGTTGTCCATAATAGTACCATGGTAAGTACCAATTTCCAAAATGGTCCCATTACAATATGAATGGTAGGAAAAATGGTGAATGCTAGGTCGTTGAAAAAAATAACCAATTGCTAAAATGCATAATACTCACCAATCGCATTCCATCCCATAACCTTTTTTCAAAAGAACTTCTGGAGCAATATAGTCAGGTGTACCAACAGTGGAATAAGCCTGCAGTGGCCATATATCAAAAATTAAAGGAATGATACCTTCGCAATGTTCAACCAAAAGGTCATGAATGGCAATGTTATACATCCAAAAAGAAACTCTTTTATCTACGCCACAGTCATTGCACTAGAAAGTGAGGAGGCAGTGGGGAGGTAGGGAGAGATAACAGTTCCTCTTTTATCTACGCCACAGTCATTGCACTAGAAAGAGAGGAGGCAGTGGGGAGAGAGGGAGAGATAATTTAATTGCATAATGGTGTATAACTTACAAGCATTCTCCTATTCTTCTGCCAATGTTGCAGTTGCTCTTGTTGTGTTCGTTTTGGAGCTGCAGGGCGTTCATCATTCTGTGGACCACCATTAACATTGGGTGCTATTGAAAAGTCTTCTCGGATTGTACTGCAGTCTAAAGGTTTACACAACCCAAAATCTGACAGTCTTAAGTGTCCATATCTATCAAGTAGTAAATTGTCAGGCTTGATATCCCTGCAATATGCAAAACAGACTATGTTAACATCCATTTTTGCAGTCCAATAAATTGTATTATTTAATCTGTCAAAAGAGTCAGTGTTGATATTGTACCACAAACCTGTGAATGTAATTATGTTTATGGATAGACTCAATAGCCAAAACTGTTTCGGCAACATAAAATCTAGCTTCATCTTCAGTCAAAATATCCTTTCTCATAAGCAAAGTCATCATATCTCCTCCAGGTAAGTATTCCATTATAAGATAAAGAAACTCATCATCTTGAAAAGAACAGTACAGCTTCACAATGCAATTGCTGTCCACCTCAGCAAGCAAATTCCTTTCAGCTTTGACATGCTCAACCTAAAAAGAATGTAATACAAGTCAACTGACAGTAACTACAGTTTAAATCACCTTGGTAATTCAAATGGAAGAACAGTTGACTAAATACCTGGCCTCTACGAAGCATCTCTGATTTCTTGAGCTTTTTCATGGCATAAACAGAACCTGTTGTCTTTTCCCTGCAGACACGAACCTGCACCATAAAAGAAACATTTGACTGGTTAAAATCTCATATCAAAC